TTTGGTTTTTTTATGTTATCCCATATCTCTTGGATGTTTTTCTCGTGATTTTTTACCAGCCTTTCTGAGTTGGCTAGACTCTTTTCAAGATGATATATTTTGTCTTCATTATCTGACGTTCTGGCTTCTACTTGCTCCACTTTGTTAGTGATACTCTCATTTGAGTTTTTAATTTGGTTTATAGTTTCCTTCATTTCTAGGATTATTATTTGATTTTTTAAATAATCTCTATCTCCTGATAAAGATGCTTATTTGCTTCTTTTATCTGTTTATGTAATTCATTTTCAATGTGTTCTTTCATTTTTGAATTTGCTGTCTCATGTCCTCTTTAAGATGCCATTCCATCTGTTTAAGGTATTCCTTGAGTTCTCTATTTGACCATTTTTCTGATGCCTCTAGGTCCTCCTGAATATTTAGGCTGTCCTGCATTGTTTGTACTCCTTTTCTTCCTTGCTTTTTCATGCAGCTCATGTTACTTATTGTTCTGTTTGACTGCTGAGTTACTGTTTACTCCTATAAATTTATTTGGTTTTGTGTATCTCTGGGGTCTCTCTTATGTGATGGGAGACTATGACTAGAGATGATGAGTTTTGTTGCACTTTAAAGCAGATTCTTCGTTTCTTAAACTGTGTATGGATTCTGATGGCATATAGCGGTCTGCGGTTTGGTCTTGGGACTTATATTTAGGTCGAATGATGTGATGTTATTGAGGTTGGTATCTCTTGGCAACCTTGGAAGGTTGCTCTACTGATGAGGGATATTAACAGAAGAATGGTCTGGAGTATTTGTGGGTAGCTAGGGACTTGGTAGCACTATATAACACCTCAGAACATTTACCTATACATATTTAGTAAATTACACATAATCAGCGTCGTGATGCTTGGGAGGAAAGTTATTAGAAGGGGAGGGAAGAAGTCACTAAAGGGAATGAGAGTAAACAGGTAGAATTCAAGGAAAGGGGAATAAGGAAATTGAAAAGAAATGAAAAGACAAAAGAAAAAAATAGAAAAGAAAAAAGAAAAATTTTAAAAAATAATTTTAAAAAAATTAAAATAAAAAATAATTTTATTTTATTTTTTTTATTGGTTGTTCAAAACATTACATAACTCATGACATATCATCTTTCATACATTTGATTCACGTGGGTTATGAACTCCCATTTTTACCCCAAATACAAGTTGCAGAATCACATCGGTTACACATCCACATTTTTTCATAATGCCATATTAGTAACTGTTGTATTCTGCTACCTTTCATATCCCCTACTATCCCCCCTCCCCTTCCCTTCCATCTTCCCTCTCTACCCCATCAGCTGTTGTTCAATTCTCTCTTGTTTTTTTTCCCCTTTCCCCTCACCATCTCTTATATGTAATTATGTGTAACAATGAGGGTCTCCTTCCATTTCCATACAGTTTCCCTTCTCCCTCCCTTTCCCTCCCACCACTCGTCTCTGTTTAATGTCAGTCTTTTCCTCATGCTCTTCTTCCCTGCTCTGTTCTTAGTTGCTCTCCTTATATCAAAGAAGACATTTGGCATTTGTTTTTTAAGGATTGGCTAGCTTCACTTAGCATAATCTGCTCTAATGCCATCCATTTCCCTGAAAATTCCATGATTTTGTCATTTTTTAGTGCTGCATAATACTTCATTGTGTATAAATGCCACATTTTTTTTATCCATTCAATACCCGGCACAGGGGGAAAAAAGTTAGTTGAAATATAGAAACTGTATCTTCTATTCTGGTCTTCTTGCCTATTTTAGTGCCAACCATGCTGTTTTTGTTACTATAGCTTTATAGTATAATTTAAGGTCCAGTATTTTGTTGCCTCCTGCTTCGTGTCTCTAAGGATTGCTTTGGATATTCTGGGCTTCTTATTTTTCCAACTGAATTTCATGATTCTTTTTCTATTTCTATGAAGAATGTCATTGAATGTTTCTGATGGAAACTGCATTGAATCCATAATAATGCTTTTGATATTATGGCCATTTTTGACAATATTGACTCTGCCTATCCAAGAACATGGGAGATCTTTCCATTTTCTAAGGCCTTCCTCAATTTTTTTCGTTAGTAGTCTGTAGTTTTCATTGTAGAGATCCTTCACCTCTTTTGTTAAATTGATTCCTAAGTATTTTATTTTTTTGGAGGCTACTGTGAGTGGGATAGTTTTCCTAATATCTCTTTCAGCTGCTTTATCCTTAGAGTATAGGAATGCAATTGTTTATGGATGTTAATTTTGTATCCTACTACTATGCTGAATTCATTTATGAGTTCTAGAARTTTACTGGTGGAGTTTTTTGGGGTCTTCTAAATATAAAATCATGTTGTCAGCAGAGATAGTTTTCTATTCCTATTCATACCCTTTAATTTCTTTCTTTTGCCTGATTGCTCTGGCTAGAGTTTCAAGGACTAGGTTGAACAGAAGTGGTTAAAGTGGGCATCCTTGTCTTGTTCCTGTTTTTAGAGGAAATGCTTTCAGTTTTTCTGTTTAGAATGTGTTAGCCTTGGGTTTGTCATATTTAGCTTTTACAATTTTAAAGTATGTTCCTTCTATCCCTAATTTTTCAAGTGTTCTAAACATGATCAAATGCTGTATTTTTGTCAAATGCTTTATCTGCATCTATTGAGATAACAGTGATTCTAGTCTTTAAGTCTGTTTATGTGGTGTATTACATTTATTGATTTCTCCATGTTAAAGGAGGGGAGGGGAAGAAGTTCAGTAGATTAGACAAAGGGGAAAGAAAGAAAGGGAGAGGGGAACAGGAATAGGAAAGACAGTAGAACAAATATAATTTTCCTATGAATACATTTGAAAATACTTAAATGAACCCCACCATCATGCTTACTCACAAGAATGGGATCCTAATTAGAATAAGATATATCCTTTGCTTATATAATTTTACCAAAATAGATTCTACTTAATTCTATAATTAAGAATCAATAAAATAAAATTTAAAACATACAGAAACTGAAACAAAATCAATAAGCTTCTTGTGCTGCTACACTAAAACCAATTGTGTATCTTGTACTTTTTTTTCTTTTTCTATCTTGTACTTCAATTGGATGTTTTACTTGCACCTGATTTTGTAACTGATCTTTTAGGAAATACTGATACATTGAGTTTTGTGGATCTTCCTAATGTTGACACATTTCATTATAAAACATCAAAAAAATTACCTTCATAAATTTTATCTGTGATTTCACAAGAAAATTTGAAGCATTAGAAAATCATCAGGTAGGTCAAGGGGATGAACCCAGTTTTGCAAAATTGTAACTAGAAAGCTTGGACTTTTTCCACTGCCATCAAACACTATCAGCTGTTTTCCTTGAAGGAACCAGCATATTCCATTCATTTTTTTAAAATGCCATATAACCAATGAAAATAGCCAATTTGTCAATTATGCTTCAAAGTTAGAAAATAAAAAAGTGAAACTAGTTTTCTTAACAATATTTACAATAAGTGCACTTGTACTTTCTTCAAGACTACTGTGTAATTCAGTACACACAGAAATGTTTTAAACGCACTTGCTTTGTTATCACATAGGATATTAAAAAGATATATATTCAAGATTAAACATTTAATAAAATCAACAACTTTTCTGCTTTGTCACATTCTTTAGTGAAACTGGCTTTTTTTTTAAATGCTAGTACATGGCAGTGAAAAATAAGATAACCGCAGTATTGTTTGGTGCCACTGCACTGATTTCTACTAAGGTTCCAGCATTTTACTCACTACTGCTTTAGCATTGTCACACAAATGGAAACACTATTAAAGGGGCAAATAATATGTTACTATTATTATGAAAATAGTTTTGACCTTAAGAGACTCCCCAAAAGAATATCAGGAACTCCTAGRGAGTTCTCAGGAATTCACAGAACATACTAAAAGAACTGAAAGAATAGTCTCCCAAAGTTTAATAGTTACACTAATTCTAATTTCAATAAGCTTTACAAATTCTTCCTTTATGTTATGCTATAAACTTGCTTTCAAAATATAATAGAATCAATTTATCTTAATCTGATTCAGTCTTCTTATGAAATAAATCTTACCTGGAATGTTTGTAAAACACATTTATGCTACTCAACGGGCAATTATTTAAAGATCTACAATAATTCTGAAACTCTTTAAGAAAATAAAGACATACCTCAGATGTACAAAGTGACCAAAAAAATGGGGCTAAAAAACCCATAATATGGGGCTAGGATTGTGGCTCAGTGGTAGAGCACTTGCCTTGCACATATGAGGCACCTGGTTCAATCCTCAGCACCACATAAAATAAATAAATTAGTAAAACAAAGGTAATGTGTTCATGTTCAATTTGAAAAAAAAAATTTTTTAAACCCACAATATAATAAAGCCAAAACTTGGTATACTTACTGTGACACAGCTTGATTTTGTGCTGTTTCATCTTGAGGTTGCTAGGAAGAAAAAACAGTAGTTTTTTTATATGTGCTAATCTAATAAAACAAGATAAAAAAATTAACATTTAAGATAAGTCTTATTTTATTGTGGCAAAATATACATAAAATTTACCATAATAACCATTTTTAGATGTATAGTTCTATAGTCCTCAGTAATTCAGTTGTTGTGCAACCACTACCACCATTCATCTCCGGAACATTGTTGGGTTCTCAAACTCCATATCCTAAACACGAATACTCTATTTCCTTCTCTCTCCACCCATGGCAACCATAATTCTACCTCCTGTCTCTCTGAATCTGACTATGCCAGGAACATCATAAAAGAGGCATCATACAATATTGTCATATGGGGACTACTTTATTTCACATAGTACAATGTCTTCAAGGTTCATCCATGTGGTAGCATGTATCAGTATTTTTCCTTTTCTTAAGGTTGAATAATCTCCATTTCAGGAATGTGTCACATTTTGTATATCCATTCATCATTGAGGACACTTCCATTGCTTCCATCTTTCTTGGCTATTATGAATGCTGCTACTATGAAGATAAGTGTACAAATATTTCTTCAAGTCCCTGCTTTTAGTTCTTTCAGGTGTACCCTCAAAAGTAGAACTGCTAGATCATATAGTGTTACTATGTTTAAATTTTTGAGGAAACTGCCATATTTCCCATAGGACTATACCATTTTATATTCCCACCTGCAAAGCACAAAGATTTCAATTTCTCTACATCCTTATCAACACTTTTTTTTTGTAGTTGCAGATGGACAGAATGACTTATTTTGTTTATTTGTATGTGGTGCTGAGGATCAAACCCAGTGCCTCATGCATGCTAGGCAAGTGTTCTGCCACTGAACTATAGCCCCAGCCCTTGATAATGTCTTCTGACATCTTAAAATTTCCATTAAGTCTTTCTAGGTCCTTCTTATCATGTATTTTAATGAATCCACCTCTACATATGAGATAAGGGTACAGAAAGGGAAAAGGATTCAATCTGGATCCACACCTCTCAGACAGAGTCCTGCATTTCAGAGAAAGAAGTGGTAGAAGTGGCCTGCTTACAATAACTGCAAAACTGAACAATAATAATTATTATATTTATAATAATAATTTAATTTTATAATTATTAAAATGTTTTATGATAATTTTAATTATTAAAATAATGCTTATTATATTATTTATTATTATTCCCTAACAAACAAGTATCTTTGAGGTGACCAAATATTGATTATGAGACTAGCAGTGCCCACTGTATTACTCAAGGATCTCCAGAGACACAAAACCAATAGAGGTGTGTGTGTGTGTGTGTGTGTGTGTGTGTGTGTACATGTATATACATATATATGGTATTTATTATAAAGAGTTGACTCCCATGATTATTGAAACTAAGTCCAAATCTACACTGTAGGCTGTCAGGCTTGAGACCAAGAAAGTCAGGGCTGAAGTTTCAATCTGAAGGTCTTCAGACAGAAAACCCAGAGAGCCAATGATACCGATGAAGTCTAAAGACCCGCAGGGAAAAGCTATCCAAAGTAGGCTGATAATCAAAGTAGGCTGATGGAGCAGTTGAGGTCCAAAGGCAGCCTGTTGGAGAATTCTCTCTTGCTGAGAGAGGCAGGTCTTTTTATTCAAATCAGGTATTCAACTGATTTGATGAAGTCTACCCACAATACAGAGGGCAATCTGTTTTACGCAAGTATACTGATTTAAGTGATAATATCATCTGAAACATCATCACAGAAAAAGATTTGAATATCATCTGAAACATCATCCCAGAAAAATATTTGACAAATTATTTGGATACTTCATGACTGAGTCGAGTTGACACACAAAATTAACCATCCCACACAACTTTGATAGACACAATGTCTCCAAAGTTTAGTATCACTAAACTCTCCAACTGAAATAAAAATTTATTTATGTAAAATTTAAAAACTGATTCCTATGCAGCACATTTAAAAACTAGAAAAGCTATTGCAAGACCCAAACCAAAAGTATTTCAAGATTTCAAACCAAAGGTATTGAAAGATACCAAATCAAAGATCCTCTGTTTCTTCTGCTTGTCCTTATTTAAAATAGGCCATCATTTCTAAAATATTCGTCTTTGAAGTTGAAATGCCAATTGGTATCTGAGTATTTAGGTAGCAATTACTTAGAACTCTGATTCAATTTATAAAAACAATATACTTCTTTCTTTAACTCGGAGAAAATATTTTACCAGATCTCTCCATTTCTATATGTGATCAAATCAATTTTTCTATATAGTTTAGTTTCAAAAGGTTTATTTTCACAGTCCTTTAAAGCAATTTTTCCAAGCTAGCCAACCATTGGAAATTACTTCGGAGGCTTTCAAAAAATGGGCATTTCCAGGTTCTACATAAACATAATCTGGAAATTCATATTTTTAAAAAACTATCCAAAGTAGGCTGATAATCAAGCTTTCAAAACCATGTGCTAAGGTACATTTGAAGACCTGGTATAATAACCACATAGCAAATGCTTATAAGATAAATGGAAAAAAAATATTCTTATTTCACAGTTACAGAAGCTAGAGGGAATTTTTTTCTTCATTCAAAAATTGTAAACCCAATTTTTAAACAAATTATTAGGAGTCAAATAAGGCTATCTTAGTTTCAAGGACAAATATTTGGTGTTAAATTTTTCTCTTCATCAGAAATAAATACTGTGATAAATCTTCCTAGCTACAATATTAAATAGACCCTCACAGACAGTCTTTGCAACTGCTGACAGTTTCTAAGTGCTTACTGAATTACCCCTTACCATTCCCCTTGGTGTTTGAATTCAGAAACAAAATTCTTAAGCTAAGTATGCGAATGTCTACACAACACACATATTCATACACATAAAACAACAGAAAGGTTTTAAGCAGCCCAAATCTCAAATTGTATTATAAAAACTAGCACCTTCTTCACAAATTTAAGATGATCTCTGACATACATAGAGATGAAAGTTTCAATTATTATATCCTATTTTAACCTCTGTTCCTTTCTCTTCCATATGTCTAACAAAAAAAAAAAAAGAAAGCTATGGGCAGGGGGGAATACTATATATCCCCCCCAAAAAAAACAAATGAACTTCATCAAAGCTATAGTAAAGAAATAGAATGACTAATTAAGAGACTGTTTTAAAGGGAGGAAAAAGGGAAAAAGCAAAATACTAGACAAAAGAATTGTCACTGTTAATTTGCCAGTGAGATAACATTTTTAATTTTTAATAAGTGTGTATTCAATCATACTTATGGCTCCACACCTGTAATACTGCATCCGCACTAAGAACAGTCATCATCTTATTTTCATTCATTTGCTCTTGCAGACCCTCACTGAGTTTGTGCCCAAGTTGAATCTCAGGAGAAGGAATGCCTAGAATGAAATATAATCGTAAGTCATTTGCAATAGTTTTATTGATCTCCTTCGACTCAGGATTTCATAGATACTGCAAAATTTCATTAAAAATCATTTTGTAGGAGGTAAGGATATAGTTCAGTGGTAATGAGGGTGATTAGCTTCTGTAACTCCCTGGGTTCAATCCCCAGCATAAAAAAAAAAACTCAAAACCAAATAAAACCCTTTGTGTATAATTCCTTAACTGTCACTTTTATGTGCCAATGTTTTAAAGTTTCCAGTTAGCAGGAGACACATATGCTACACTGAATGAAATACTACTTTATTTCTCTGTTTCAGGATGAATGAATACAACCAATAAGTACAGAAAATGATATAGACTTAAATACCAAAAAATAAATAAATAAACTTTTTCCCCACTTCATTTTAGATCATATTTTAAAACTCATAATATTAGTAGATAATTGAAGAAAAACCAGTTTTGTTCTCAAAAAGGCAAATAAAACTCATATTTTAAATTTTTTTCTTTTCAAGTTCCTAAAAAAAATATCAAAAAAAAAAATTGAATAGTTGCTTTTTGCTTCATCCTTAGCAACAATGGAATAAAATAAAATGTACCTCTTATAGATCAAAAGATGGGAATGAATTAGAGGAAAATTAAACAAATGGTAAACGGCTTCCTACGGACAATGTTTATATCTCTCCCGAAATTCTCATGGTGAAGCCCTAATCCCTATGTGACGATATTAGGGGGGCCTCTGAGAGGTAATTAGGTTTAGATTAATTCACAAGAGTGGAGCCTTCATATGGGATTAGCATCCTTGTAAAAATGAGAGAAACCAGAGTGTTTTCTACATAAGTACACAGATCAGATCATATGAGCACACAGCAATATGCCAGCTGTCTGCAGGTCAGAAAAAAGGCCCTCATCAAGCACCAAATCTCCCAGCACCTTGATCTTAAAACTCCAAGATCTTGGAATTCTTGAGAAAAAAAATCTGTAGATTAAGCCATTTAAGTTATGTTATTTTGTATAGCAGCCCAAGCCAACTAAGACACAGTTTGTCACTCAACATAGGAAAAGAAAGAGAGTCCTTAAAAGTAACTCTGGATTTCTTACATTAGAATTCCAAAAAAACCACCCAACTCAGAAAAAATGTGGCCAACTAAAATCGCAAAAAGGCAAATTGGAAGCACACAGWGGGTAAAGTCTCATACTTCACTGAGCTTGTTGCCTATACCTATGAAACTTAGTATGAATACTGTAGCCGCCTACTCTGTATAGGATATTTTCCTTACCACGTACAAAAATGTACTAAAACCTAAAGATGATAAAATAATGTAGTGATGGCACAGAAATAGTCACATAGATCAGTGAAACAAAATGGAGTGGGAAATATATATGTGTATATATGACAATAATTTTATTTTAAACAGAACAAGATTGATTACTCAAAAAAATTATATTGGATTTCTTTAGCTATTCTGGGTCTCTTACTTTTCCAGATGAATGGAACCACCATTTGACCCAGCTATCCCTCTCCTCAGTCTATACCCAAAGGACTTAAAAACAGCAAACTACAGGGACACAGCCACAACAACATTTATAGCAGCACAATTCACAATAGCTAAACTCTGGATCCAACCTAGATGCCCTTCAATAGATGAATGGATAAAAAAAATGTGGCTTATATACACAATAGAATATTACTCAGCAATAAAAGAGAATAGAATCATGGCATTTGCAGGTAAATAGATAGAGTTTGTGAATATAATGCTAAGTGAAGTTAGCCAATACAAAAAAAAATGCCTAATGTTTTCTTTGATATAAGGAGGCTGATTCATAGTGGGATAGGGAGAGGGAGCATGGGAGGAATAGATGAACTCTAGATAGGGCAGAAGGGTTGGAGGGGAAGGGAGGGGGGCATGGGGTTAGAAATGATGGTAGAATGTGATGATCATTATTATCCAAAGTACATGTATGAAGACATGAATTGGTGTGAATATATTTTGTATACAACCAGAGATATGAAAAATCATGCTCTATATGTGTAATAAGAATTGTAATGCATTCCGCTGTCATATATAAATAAAAATTTAAAAAATAATATTGGATGTGTAACTATTAGAATAAAAAAATGTTTAAAATAATAATATTGAGGCAATTGGCCAACCATTTGAAAAAATAAAGTTAGATCCTTTTTATTTCCCCATATGCCAAAATAATCTAAAGACATTAAAGATATGAATGCAAAAGACATAAATAAATGGAAATAAAGATAGAATATATTTTACAGTTTTGAGGTAGGTAAAGTAATTCTATGTTTGGGGGGAAAAAAGAAACACTGACAGAAAAGACTGACAGATTATACCACAAAATATATCATGAACAACATTAAAAGGTAACCAAGAAACTGGGTAAAACTATAATACACATGGCACAAGTTTGTATCTTTTACACATAAAATGCTCTTATAAATTAAAATATTAGGAAACATATGCAAGCAATTCACATTCAAAAAAAAATTACCTGGCAAAAAGTGAATATGTCTTGTTGAATCTAGGGGATAAAAACCATCTTCTTAGGGGCAATATGTATCAACACCTGATATGTAAACCCCTTAACAGTAAATCAACTTCTATATTATTCTTCTAAGGTAATAATCAGAAAAGTAAGCTATGGTAGATGTACAAAGATATTTATATTTGTAATAATATTGAGAAACATCATAAACATGTTTATTTTAAATAAAATACATTCATATGATGGAATGATATGTAGCAATTTAAAAGGTTAGTAGGCTTGTTTGGTACCTCTTTCTCTGGCACTTGCCATATTCTACAAAATTCCCAAAGAGGAGTCAAGACTAAAAGCAATGATCATATTAAATTTGAAGGTGCTGAAGAAGGATGATCTTGTGGTAGGCTAAGGTACACTTAATAAATTCATGAAAGTCTACTGTGAACTGGGTTTGTCAATGAGATAAACTAGAATCCAACTTGACAATCAGTTGGTCAATAGAAGAGACACACCTGGTGCAAAGGAAGGATGAAGATTCAATTAATGTATTCCAGTAGCAGACAGGTGTCTTCTTAAAAGAAAACTTGCTACTTTCCTCCAAAATATTATTCTCATAGAGTATATTCTCAGTTGAAAACAATAATTTAGTTTCACTACAATCTTTACTACCAAAGTATAGTTTTCTCTTATTTCTTTATTTTCCCCTTCCCCAGTCCTTTACTGTGCATAAAGTAACAAAGCATGTGACCAAGAATATTGCCTTTTTTTAAAAAAACTAAATGGCCAATGTATGCTTTGATCAAAATTAAATGGAGATGGGGAAAAACATTCATTCTGTAAAAATAACAAACTGTCTTCATTAGTAGCATGCTTACTCAGCTTTTCTGTTTCACTAAGTTATTTTATTTTCACTATTGTAACTAAAAAGTACACAAAACATAAAATCCTTGCATATCTTGTTTGATTGGAAATATTTAATGGTTTTCACTTGTTGTTGTAAATCAATAACAATTTTATAACTTTTTTATATGTAGTTGTTATTTGTAGCACAATCTGTACTTAAGTAGGGAAAAATTACTTCAAAAAAAATAATGATAGGTAGTTTTCCCTTCATTCAAGCATTTCTTGTTTAAATGAACTTCTTACTTAAAATGAAAAATTAAAGTTAAAAAAAAATTACAAAAGATTGTGGTAGATCAATATAGACAAGGAAAGAACCACATGTAAAATGATAACAATTATGAAGATATTCATCTGGTATAAAAAACTCTAGAAGGATATACCAATACTAAACACTGGCAAAGAGAGCAGACTACAGAAGGAAGGAGTAAGGGATGAAAATAACCATGGTAAGTAGTTATTGTCCTTTTCAGTTTCTACATTATGTATTTCATAATTTAAAATTATTTTATATTATTAATAACTGACAAAAATAATAAATGTCAATTCATTTGGTAAAGGAAAGGGAAGGAAAGTGTGGTTGGAATATTCAAACAAATCTCTAACTCCTTTCTGGTAGCACTTTATAAATCGTAAGACGGCATTTTGAAGACCCATATTACACATTGTCTTTTCCAACTGCCAAGTAGAAAAAATACTTAAAGGAGAAACTGTGATCTTCCATTAGAAGATATGTACAGTAAAAAGACTCTGTGAACTACAAACAGTACACAAAAATTAAAAGACCTTCGTGGGTATTAAAAATTGTTTTACTCTGTTTTACACCAATTCCTAGACATCCTCCAAAATAAAAGGAAGGTTCACAGAAAAAATCCATACAAGGAAATAATCTACATCTAGTCAGCTACTGCAGAATTGATCTTGTAAGATGCAGTTTTCTAGAAATATTTAAATCAACCTAGAAGTGGGCACAGGAAGTACAGCTAACTGGTAAGTGAAACGTAATTTTTAAAAATAAACATATCAAGTATATGTGGTGTAATTTTAGTCTGTAAGAATAAGTGTAGTTATTAAGAAATATTATTTACTTTTACGAATAAGCTATAGGTTTAAGGTAGAGATTTTGGCAGTCAGGGGGAAACAAGCTATCAAGAGCGCTACTTTAATGTCTATGGATCATTCTAGGAGTCTTAAATATCTTCCAGAAGCTACAATTCCCATTTTTGTCCCTTCTATACCTTAACAGACCTTACAGCCTGTTACATATATTTATAAGAAACTAACTTTGCACAAAGTTAAGAATAGGACTAAATATAAAATTGTGGTAATGGAACAATAATAGTTGGGAAAATAATATGAGAATTCTTATTGAAAAGAATCATTCTCACCTTGGCACAATCCACTTATTCCAGGATGAACACTGAACTCAGATCTAAGAGATGTGTCTTGATCAAAGAATAACCTTTCGAATATCAAAAGAGAAAGCACATTATTATGTCTCTAAAAATAAAGACTAAGATTTTAACTATCATTTTTATTATACTTATGCTTGCTAAAATTCTTAGTTACACCACTTTTAACATTTTTATTTCAAAGTATTATTTCAGAAATGTCCACTTTAATTTTTGGATTTATTTCTCACTATGTTTGAGGTAGCATCAATGTGAGGAAAAGAGAGGACACACAGCCTTAGCCTTTGAGAAACTCTAAATCTAATGAGAGATGTACAATTTAAAAATAACAGTAATTCTCCCTGGTAAGTATGCTACTCAGCAGACATAAGTATTTATCTTTTCTACTGAAAAGGTAGGCAAAGAAAATTAGGTATGTGATGAATACCTATAGACTCAGTTACAAGGGAGCCTGAGGCAGGAGGATCACAAGTTTGAGCCTAGTGTGGGCAATATAATAGGATGCCATCCCAAAAAATATATATAAAAAAATAGGCAAAGGACTCGAAAAGATATTTCTGCAAAAATGAAGTACAAATGGTCAGTAAATACATAAAAAGATGCCCAATATCACTAATCATTAGGGAAATCAAAATCATGTGATATGCCACTTCACAATCCTTAGGACTGCTATTGTTAAAAAAAATTTTAAAGTACTGGTAAGGATGTGAAGAAACTGGAATGCATATGTGTTGCTGGTGGAAATGCAGAGTGGCATTACTATGAAAAACAGTATGGTGATTCTTAAACTTATTAAAAAGAACTGCCACTTGATTTAGCAATTCTGCTTCTGGGTACATATGAAAAAAAAAAAACTAAAAGCAGGGACTTGAACACATCGTTGTATAACTGTGTTCAGAGAAGCATGATTCATAAGAGCCAAAAGGAGGAAACAAACCAAATGTCCCTTAATGGATACATGGATAAATATGGCATAAACATACAATGGAATAGTACTCTGTTTTAAAAAGAAATGCAGATAGATATATGCTATAACATGAATGAATCTTGAAGACATTATGCTAAGTGAAATAATCCAGACTCAAAAAAGCAAATATTACATGATTCTACTCATATGAGGTACCTAGAGTAGTCAAATTTGTAGAGACAGACGGTAAAATAGTGGTTGGTATGGGTGGAAGGAGAGAAGAATGAGGAGTTATGATTTAACAGGTATATGATGTCACTACAGGATGATTAGGAAATAGTAATGGTTGAAGAACAATGTCAATGTACTTAAATAAACACTTTATTTAAGCTGTAGCTCAGTGGCAGAGCACTTTCCTAGCATGCACAGGGCACTGGGTTCAATCCTCAGCACTACATAAAAGTAAACAAATAAAATAAAGGCATTCTGTCCATCTACAACTACAAAAAAAATTTTTTTAATGGTAAATATGGTGCTAGGTACAGTGGTACCTATAATCCTAGCAGCTTGGTAGTCTGAGACAGGAGGATCACCAGTTCACAGCCAGCCTCAGCAATTAAGCAAGGCCCTAAGAAACTTAGTGAGATGTCTCTACATAAAATATACCAAAGGGCTGGGGATGTAGCTCAGTAGTTAAATGCCCCTGGGTTCAATCCCCAGTATGGSGGGGGGGGGGGGGGGGGGGGGGGGGGGGGGGGGGGGGGGAGGGGGGATAGATATGGTAAATTTTATGTAATGCATATTTTACTACAATAAAAATTTAAAAAAACAAAACAGTTTTCTAAAAAATTAATCATCTATGCTAAGGCATGCATGTGTGGTTTGGTACTAAGGGCTTTTGTTTACTTACTTGTTCATGTTCCTTTCTACTTTTTTAACTGAAAATTTCAAATACAAGTACTAACTCTGCCCCCTGCTGGTCTCCCAATAGATTTTTTTTGTCTTTTTGTTTTTTAAAGAATTTAACCTTTATTTGTTGTTTTAATGTGGTACTAAGGATCAAACCCAGGGCCTCACCTGTGCTAGGCAAGCATTCTACCACTGAGCCACAACCCAAGTCCCCCAATGGACTATTTTAAAGTGAACTCTAAACACAATAACCATTTCATATGAAAATATTTTGTATGTTAACTCTCAAATACAAAAACTTAATATAACAATAATCATGTCTTTGAAAATAACCATATCATTACACCTAAGAAGTCAATAATTCCTTAATGTTATTAAATTTAGGCTGTGGTAAGCAGATTATAAAATAGCTCCTGATATATACCCTATGTAATTTCTTCCCTTGAGTATAGGCTGGACCCAGTAATTCTTCTAATGAACAAAATACAGTAAATACAATAGAATGTTACTTCTGAGACTAGCTCACAAGAAGACATGGGCTTGAATCATGTTCTCCCTTTTGTACTCTCTCTTCTTCCCTCTGATGAAAGTCAGCATGTCATGCTGTGAACTATACTATGGAAAAGCCTACACAGTAAACTGAAAGTGGCCAAGAATCAAAGATGAAGCTGTGGCAAGGATGTGGGGAGGGGTACACATATACATTGCTGGTAGGACTACAAATTGGTGCAATCACTCTGAAAAGCAGGATGGAGATTCCTCAAAAAACTAGGAATGGAACCAATATTTGACCCAGCTATCCCACTTTTCAGTATATATCCAAAGGAGTTAAAATTAGCATACTACTGTCCTGTATATTTCCAGTAAAATGTTAATTAGACTTAAGCACACACCTGTAATCCTAGCAGCTCCAGAGGTACAGGCAGGAGAATCATGAGTTCAAAGCAAGCCTCAGCAATTTAGAGAGGCCCTAAACAACTTAGTGAGACCCTATCTCAAAATAAAAATATAAAAACTACAGAACACTAAAGAAAGAAATTGAAGAACTTAGAAGATGGAAAGATCTCCCATGTTCTTGGATAGACAAGAGTTAATATTGTCACAATGGCCATACTACCAAAAGCACTATGCAAATTTAATGCAATTCCTAAAATTTCAATGACATTCTTCATAGAAATAGAAAAAGCAGTCATGAAATTCATTTGGAAAAATAAGAGGCCCAGATTATTCAAAGCAATACTTAATGAGAAAAGCAAAGCAGGAGACCTCATAATACCAGACCTTAAATTATACTACAGAGTTATAGTAACAAAAACAGCATGATATTGGCACAAAAATAAGCAAGAAGACAATGGAACAGAATGGTAGAGACAGAGACAAACCCACAAAAATACAGTTATCCCATTCCTAGACAAAGGTGCCAAAAGCATACACTGGAGATATGGTATTGGGAAAACTCGAAATCCATATGTAGCAGAATGAAATTTAWCCCCTATTTCTCATGCCACACAAAACTCAACTCAAAGTGGATCAAAGACGTACGCATTAGACCAGAAACCCTATACCAACTAGATGAAAAATGTAGATCCAATACATCATCATGTCAACTTAGGAAAAGAATTCCTCAACTAGACTCCTAAAGTGCAAGAAGTAAATTAAATATCAATAAGTGGAAGGCCATCAAATTAAAAAAGTTTCTTCACAACAAAGGGAATAATCAATAACATGAAGAGGAAGCCTACAGAATGAAAGAGAATTTTTGCCACCTACACCTCAGATAGAGCATAAATCTCCAGGATATATTAAGAGCTCAAAAAACTTAACACCAACAGAACAAACAACCCAATAAATGGGCAAAGGAACTGAACAGGCACTTCACAGAAGAAGAAATACAAGTGGTCAACAAATACATTAAAAAATGTTCAACATCTCTAGCAATTAGAGAAATGCAAATTAAAACTACACTAAGATTCCATCTCATTCCAATCAGAATGGCAACAATCAAGAACACAAGTAACAATAAATGTTGGCAAGGATATGGGGAGGGGTACACATATACATTTCTGGTAAGAGTACAAATTGGTGCAATCACTCTGAAACGCAATATGGAGATTCCTCAAAAAAACTAGAAATGGAACCAACATTTGACCCAGCTATCCCACTCCTCAGTATATATCCAAAGGAGTTAAAATTAGCATACTACAGTGACACAGCCACATCAATGTTTATAGCAGCTCAATTCACAAAAGCTATGACACCAACCTAAGTGCTCTTCAACAGATTAATGGATAAAGGAAACATGGTATACATACATAACATAATATTACATAGGAAAATGTTGAATTTTAGAATAAGTTGTAACACAGCAAAAGAAAACTAATAATAGTCATATTTTTCCAACTGTGTCTCTTCATAATCACTATGTCAATTCAGGATCAAAAAATATAAGTGTGGGCTGGGGATGTGGCTCAAGCAGTAACACACTCGCCTGGCATGCGCGGGGCGCTGGGTTCAATCCTCAGCCACACATAAAATAAAGATGTTGTGTCCACCAAAAACTGAAAAATAAATATTAAAAAAATTCTCCCTCTCTCTCTTTCTCTCTCTAAAATATGTGTGTGTATACCTTGATACACATTTACATTTAAATACTATGTCTTTTTACTTTCTTTTAAAATCTATCGATTGTCCTTTCTTCCCTGACCCATTGAAATTTATTTATTGAAAACACTGAGTTGTGTTTCCTATAGAGTATCCCACATTTTGGAATTGCTGATTTCATGTCATTTAACATGTTCTTCTGTCTCTGTATATTTCCAGTAAAATGTTAATTAGACTTAGAAGTCTGATCTAATTAAAGCTCACTTTTGGAGAACATGTAGGTAGTTAAAACAAGCAATAACAGAGTATGATTGATATTCTTTTTGTGATGTTAGTGCCCATTGATGACCACTGCCTACATCCACTCATTACTTCATAGGGAATAAATGGAATGGGGTATTTTAGTTTATCATTCTTTCTCAATTTATTATTAGAAGTAAATATATTAAAAATCTTTTGCTCATTAGTTTGTAATCTAGACACATTATCAGGGAACTAGGAAAGGTAAGGTAAATGCCAATTAACAGGGAACTAGGAAAGGTAAGATAAATGCCAACTTCTTTCTCTTTCTTGACTAGTTTTCAGAATAAAATAAAGCTTTTTAAAGACTATTTGGAACTTATAGATTTAAAT